GAACAATGAGGAACTGAGCAGATGTTTGTTCTCCCAGGATGTTTCTTGTCCTGGAGAATCACAGCATCACTGGATCACTGAAGTCTCAGTTGTGACCGGAGGGCGAGCTGGAGTTATTCTGTAGCTGGGCTGTAGGCAAGAGAACTAGGCTACCCAAATGATTTATCCCTAGAATTATGTAGCATTGCTCCCAACACTACTCTATTTTTTTTTTTTTTAATTTTTTTTGGGGGGGTACTAGGGATTGAACTCCATACCTTGCGCTTTTGAGGCAGCGGAACCAACTACTCCATTTTGATAGAAGAAAATTACTGAAATATGGCAGACTCTGCCAGGTTTTTCTTGATAAAATATTTGGAAAAGCAAGTTAAGTTTGTTTTCCAACTTGTCTGCTATCTGTATCTCCAATCAGTTGAGGGCTCTTTTGCTCTATTCAGATGGAAATTGAGAAAATGCAGCTCTGCAAGTGGGCCCAATGTACCAGTAGACACCACTGAAACTGGTTAGTGCCAGGACACCAGTTAATGTTGGATGCAACCTAGAAATTGCTGCTCTCTGGAGCGGTTCAGGGCTAATAGCCCTAGGGTTTAAAGGTCTTTCCATTGGTTACAGAGTCTACTCCTTCTGATATAAAGGGAAGAGATGTAATTTCCAAACCTGCTACATATCCAAAGTGCGAGTTCCTGTTCTCTAACATTGGAAAATGAATTCTAGGAACATCAGAGGTTAAGAATAGAAAAAATTGGGGCTGGGGATTTAGCTCAGTGGTTTTGATGTCTGCTACACAGGTGCAAGGACCAGAGTTCGATCCCCGGTACCAAAAAAAAAGAATAGAAAAAATTAGGGCCGAGGATTTAGCTCAGTGGTTGCACACCTGCCTCACAAGTGCAAGGTCCTGAGTTCGATCCCCAGGACCAAAAAAAAAGTAGGAAGAATTTATTGAGAAGGATAGCTTCTGTATAAGAAACACAGAATGGGGGGGGGACCAGAAAATGGGTTACCTGCTCACCCTGCTTCTCAAATTTGTTTTATGGGACAAAGCTATGAGGTAAGGTGGGTTCAAATTGGAACAAAACTATAGTCAACTAGAAAGATTCCAAGCACAGTTGCTTAGGTAATATTGATCCAATGAGAAATCACAAGGTGCACAAAACTATGAACAACCAATAAGATTATGACAAGTATAGTTTCTTAGGTAATACTGATTAAATGGGGATCCAATGGGAAAACAAGTCACATAGCAAGTGTACAAGGAAAGAGCAAGGATTTTCAGAGATCTTTCTTGGAAGAAAGATTTTGGTCCCCCACCCAGGTGATTGATACCTATTTAGAATATCAATCACTGCTATTTATCCTACGTGGATGTGGTAGTTTCTCTCCTTTTACAATGCTGGCCTTCAGTGAATATGTCTTGATTGTCCTCCATGTTGGCTCCTCGTGCGCTGGCCCTGTCTAACTGCCTACAAGATATCTAATTAACTTACCTATCTGCAATACTGCCACACTACTCAGTATAAAAATCTTGGGTACATTTACAGGACCTTCTTATTTGTTGTTTGTTTTGAGACAAGGTCTTGCTATGCAGGTCAGGCTGGTCTTGAGCTCACTGTGTAGGCCAGGCTGGCCTGGAACCCATGGCAATCCTCCTGCTTCAGCCTCCAGAGTCATCGGATTACAGGCGTGTGCCACCCGCCCCCCCCCCGCCCAGTGGTACAGGACCTTCTGAGCCTACACCACCCAGCCCAAAATATAAATCATGAGCAGATTTACAGGGCCACTGGAGTGATCCTTTATTTGAACAAGATCTGTACTATAGAACACAGGGTTAGTACACCAGAGGGAATCCTCCTAGGTGAGTACTCCTAAGCTTACTGGACAAAGTGCCGGGGGTGTGTAGTTTAGATAGCAACTGCAGGCCTCTGATTGGTCCAAACTACAGGCCTGTGATTGGTCCACACTTGCTGTGTGGTTCAAATTTGAGTCTGCAGATTGATCCAAATTCATATAAACTCAAACTTTACACTCTGAGCTTACTAATTGGTCCAAACTCTATTCTTTTTTTTTTTTTTTTTTTGGTACCAGGGATCGAACTCGGGTCCTTGAGCTTGCTTAGCAGGCAGCGAAACCACTGAGCTAAATCCCCGGCCCTCCAAACTCTATTCTACCTCTAGGTTCAAATTCAAGTAGGGCGAACATGTTCTTGGAGGAAGTGTGGAGTTCCAGGACACCCATAGCTGTCGTGGCCAAGAGTTTGTGGACTAATGGGAGACACAAGCAATTTGATTGATAGCTGTCAAGTCTGTGCAAGAAATGGTAGCCGAAACTAGGGAGTCTTCATAGGGGGTAGCTGTGTTAATCACAACTGTTGTGCAAACCACACTCCTCTCCAGCCATCACAGGAAAGGGGGGAGGTAGGGGTTTCTCCTCTGCCTCACCAGGTCACAGTATGTCTTTTCCAGAACTTGCCCAGGCAGGTGACCCTCCCTTCCTTCACCACTCCACCCCCACCAAACTACAGGATCTTTGGGATGAGAAAAGTGGTACCTGAGTCAATTATTGTCCTTTCCCCAGGAGTGTTTGCACAATAAACAGGGACTTTAAGGACATTCTGCAAACACATATGTTGGGAAGAAGAGGAAGTTAGAACAAAATTGGTTGCATTTGAAATGACTGTCAGGTTTCCTAAAATTTTTAGAGGAAATTCCAAGAAACCCAGAAGCTTTTGGTAAATAGAAACTTAAAATACCTAAGCCAACCAAACAACTTACACACTTGATCTTGTTGGAGCCTCACGACAGTGCTGGGGACGGTGTGCATCACTATTTTACACACCAGGAGACTCACTGGTAAAGTGGAGTCATTTTCACAGGGTTACATAACTGGGACCCAGAGGTCAGAATATGAATTTGAGTCATCTGACTCAGGGCTCTGCGCTGCGGTCCTCTTCCAGAAAATTTATTCGCCAACAAGATTTCATGAGTCATCATCCCCAAAACTAAGAGGGAGGGACTGAGGGCCTTTACACATAGACTTTGCTTCCAGCAAGTTCTTTCTCTCTCTGCTTACCTTTTCCAGCTTCCCTTTTAGTTTCACTTCTGCTATGTTGCTTCTTGATTTTTCAGAAGGCGCTGGTGGTGGCCGGGGATTTAGCTCAGTGATTCTGCTGCCTGCCTTGAAAGTGCAAGGTCCCAAGTTTGATCCCCAGTACCAAAAAGAAGACACTGGTGGTGACAGAAAACCACCAAGATCTTTGATATCAGATTTTCCCCACACACATTTTCATGCATGGTGGGTGGTGGTGGTGACCCCAAGGGGAAAAGCTAAACCTCCCTATGTAGCAAGCCATTCCCAGTAAACACCCTGTTTACATAAAGGTAGGGCTGGGCAAATGCAGCTTCATGACAACTTCTTGAGTTTCAGTGTGTCCAAGATTCACAACACCAGTGGGTACCACCGAAGTACAGTGAAACACGGGGGAAGGGTTGCCTGTGGAACTGCAGGAGAAGGCAGACCTTCTGAAACATCTCCCCAAAAGGCTGAGCCTGTGAGGAACCTTCTTTACAGACACTGGGTAAGAGGGATGGAGTCAGGACTTGTCAGGATCGGTCAGGGGCCGGGGAAAGGAGTGGAGTCCACAGAGATCTCGAGAGTAACTGGAAACGGAGCAGGAGCCGAAGTTGAGCCCGGTGAGGTCCAGAATCCAACAGGCCAGAGTCCGTCACATGCAGCACAATTACGTGGGGCCTAACGCCGGTCATGGCAGAGGCCACTGGATTGTGATCTCCCATGGCGCAGAGAGGAGCTTGGAGCCTACTCATGTTGATTGAAGCCACACAGAGGCCTGCTAATGACAACCAGAGATACTAGACAGGCTACCTACAAAAACCACCAAAGTTGAGTAGCTGGATAATGTGGAACTTCAGTGTGAATGACTCCATTGCGATTTTTAGCCTTTTCTGTTGGAATCCAGTATAAAGAGCAATGACTTCATCTAATTTCTATTTAATGAATCTCTAAGAGGATTAATTTGGCTATACCATCATGAATTACATTGTTTGCCAAACATGCTGAACTTCTCAACTCTGGCACAAGTGGAAAATTAAATAACTCTCTGGGTTTGTCACTGGGCCAAATCTTGGTTTGGTTGCATATAGGAAATAGAATAAGGTCTATGCAGGCTTCAGGCCCCAGATTGCAGCAGTAGGTTTCCATTTCCTGCCTAAGAAGACTATTTCTACCTAGCAGAAAATAGGATGGTCATGCAAGACTCTTTGCAAGAATCTGCCCTACATCCTGCTCATGAACCCTGGTGTTCTATAGGCCAGGTCAGCAGGAGGCCCAGGGTGTCCTTAGTCAGGCTGATAGGACACACCTTAGTT